TCAATAATTAATTGCAAACCTGGACCAGGCTTGTTGGCACACAAATGTAACTCCAGCTCTCAAGAGGCTGAGACAGGAATGTCAGTTCGACACTAGCCCGGGCTACATAATGAGTTCCAGGCCAGCCTGAGCCTCACGAGACCCTATTTCGCACAACCCCAAGCCAACGCTAGGAGTACTAGGAGTGCAGTCCATCATCGAGGCAGGAGGATCAAGAGTTCAGAGCCATCCCTTGCCACGCAGCAGGTTTGAGGTCCTGCTTGGCTATGAGGCTGGTGTGCTGGTGTTACAAACAAAACAAAACCAACAAAACAAAACCCAGGTGGGTATGATGGCATGCACCTGGGACCTCAGTACTTGGTGAGGTACTGAGGCGACATAGGAAGTTTCCAGGATAGGGCTGGAGAGATGGCTCAGAGGTTAAGAGCACTGACTGCTCTTCCAGAGGTCCTGAGTTCAATTCCCAGCAACCACATGGTGGCTCACACCCATCTGCAATGTGATCAGGTGCCCTCTTCTGGTGTGCAGATACACATGGAAGCAGAATGTTGTATACATAATAAATAAAATAAAATCTTAAAAAAACTGCATCCTTTAAAAATAAAATAAAATAAAATAAAGTTCCAGGATAGCCTGTGCTACATAAGGTCACCCTCCCAAACAAAAACAAAAACGAAGTAAGGAAAATACCCAACAATAGGGAGCTACTGCCTGGCGTACTCAAAGCCCTGAGTTCAATCTCCGATACCACGAAACAAGACAATAACAAAGATGACCTCGGGACTCTTCACCCACGGCTCTCAACTCCAGCCACATTACCTCCTGGGCAAACTCCTCCATCACGGACAGCGTCCCTTTGTTGGGAATCACCTCCGTAGCCTCGGGGATCGCTGTTGGGGGAGATGTCCACATCAGGAGGTCCTTCTCTGATTCCCCCCCCCCCCCCCCCGCCATGGCTCCTCGGGATAGTTTTGGGGACACTTACCAAACACACGGACTCTTGAGGTGGCCTCGGAGGTGCCCTCTGACCCAGCCTTCACCACGCACACGTAGTCCCGCTCATCCCCCACCTGGGCTTTTTCTATCACCAGGCGACCTCGGGAGTCCAGCTGGTATGGGGGACTGCGGCCCCGAGAGTTGTGGACTGTGCTCAGGAGCTCTGAGCCCTGTGGCTCCACGGAAGCCAGGTGATGCCGGGACCCGG